ACGAGATCGCATGCGTACTGCCCAAAGTAGGCAGAAGAGCTATGCGGATCGTCGCACTCATGCTTTGGAGTTTCGGGTTGGGGATCAGGTTCTTCTCAAAGTATCTCCTGTGAAGGGTGTTATGCGCTTTGGGAAGAAAGGGAAGTTGTCTCCACTGTTTGTCCATCCATTCATGATTATGGATCGAGTTGGAGCTGTTGCTTATCGGTTGGCACTGCCGGATAATTTGGACCGCGTACACAACGTATTCCATGTGTCCATGTTACGAAAATTTCTGCGAAATGAGGATCGGTATCAGCATATCGATGTTGGGGAGATTGAGTTGTAGCTGGATGCGACTTATTTGGAGCCACCATGTCGTATTGTTGACCGTCGGGATCAAATCCTTCGCAATAAGGTTATCCCTTTGGTTCGTGTGCAGTGGAGTCATCACAATGAGGCTAAGTCTATTTGGGAACGGGAAGATGTCATTCGCTCGCAATTTCCTGAAATATTGGAAGAAGGTAAGAGCGAATTCCGAGGACAAAATTCCTTTTGTTAGGGGGGAAGAATGTAATACCCCTAATTTTAAAAGGATAGTCTCGGCATTTTTAATATTTATTGTATTGCACTTTTATTTATTTTATTGTCTTTATTGCATTTTTATTTATTTTATTGTTTTTCATTTGTTTAATTGGTTATTTGAAATTTGAATTAAATTAGTTTTATGTGCATTATTTGGTTTATTTAAATTCTTAATTGTTGTGTCTATTTTCGTAAATTATTAATTGTATTATTTGCAATTCACTGTTTTAAACTTAGTTAATTAACTTACTATAATTCTTGTAATGTTAAAATTAAGTTACATGAGTTTTTAAATACATTAATTGACTCACAGTTTCTTTTGGGCATCAACATAGAATTTAATCATAGGTTTTGTTTATGGGCCGACTAGGATTAAGATTAGGGCTCTGCCTCTAAAATTACAAGGATTAGGGTTTTAGAGTTAAACCTATAAATATAACCATTATGCTTTAGCCTAGGGTTTACAATCATAATTCAGATTACATAAACGTGAAGTAAGTTCTTAGGACAGAGGGTTGTGAACGGAGGCACTGTAAGAATCGTCAAGGAGAAGAACAGTGAGTACCAAGGGAGGATTTTGGTGGATTAGACTAGAACCAGAGGAGGCTAGAAGGTAGTCTGTGGTTGCCGGAAGTTAGGACGACGACGACAAGTTTTGAGTCTAAAACTACAGGCAAGTTCTTCTCTTCCTCCTTCTATCTGGCTTGTCTAATGTGCACCTAGATAATCTCTAGGGTTTAATTAATTATTAAAACAGAACTTAAATGCTTACCATATAAAATATTGATGATCTTTGCGTGTTAAAATAAATTCTGTTAATGCTTGCAAGTCTTGTTTCAGTTCTCTGTTAAAGCATGTTTTGTTGTTAGCAATTTTAGTTTCTGTAATTGTTTTTAACCTCTGTAAATAAATCATGGGGATGATTATGGGGTGTTATAGGACTCTTAAGATCAGTAGCGAAGAGGAACAGAGGGGTTGGACTAGAACTGTTATTGCAAAATAGTTGCAGATTTGTTCCTAACGCGTGTTAGTTCGGTAGCCAATTTAACCTCTGTAATTGATTCTAATGGTTGTTATCAAACCTTTGGGATGCTCATGGGTGTTAATAAGATGCTTAAAATCTATTATAGAAACCAACAGAGTTGTAGGAATTGATTAGAGAGGGAGCAGACGGACTAAAACGAAGCAACGGGGACAGAGGCTCTCAAAGGAGGTGAGAGCCGACTCCATGGATGTGGGAGCCGGCTCCAACAACAAGTAGAGCCGGCTCTAAGGACTCCTAGAGCCGGCTATAGGCTGAAAGAGCCTGCTCCCAAAATTTGGAGCAGGCTCCCTTTTGCAATATACGATTAATTTTTTTTTTTTTTTTTTTAATTTTAAGGCACTGTTTGGTAGTTTGGACACTGTTTGAGCCTTGGGATGTTTCTAATGGATTGTGGGGACTTTTCAGAGGATCTAATTACTTGATTCTAAGTGTGATTAAATTAGTTGATGCATGGTTTAAGTCTCTAAGATAAAGGATAAAACAGTATAAAAGCGTATGACTTAATACACTGTTATCGGATGGGACGAAATAAATTGTTTAGGTTAATTTAGCAATTTGTTAGACTATAATAGGATTATAGAATTTGTTCTAAATGCATGATAGAGTCATTGATATATTGGATTGGGTCTATGCATGCTTTGGATTCCAGTTGTGTAAACTATTAAACTGTTTCCTGCAATTACATGGTTTAATTTTGGGATTTAAATTGCTGAAATCTTAAATATTTTTCTGCAATTATTTGGATGGTGGTTGAACTGTAAATTACTTGTTCATTATGTATACATTGTAATTTACCTGGATATGGAGGATTGTATGCACCGGTATGGGACGGTGACATACTAGTGACGGTTTAGCTCCAAACACCTAAACCAAACCTAACGGATTTAAGGAATGGATTTATAAATATTGAATCCTAATTTTGGTTAAGACATGTCAACTGCAACTAAGTTGAGTGGCTTTCTGGATTAATAGACGAAGGTTAAGTCACATCAACTGAATAAGTTGAATGACTAACCAGTTGGTTTGTTGTATGTCAGTTTATTAAGCATTTGAACTACATACCCTGGGTATGGATGGATTTTATATATATGTTTATGGTACCACGAGCTGAGCTTGAGTCTCAGACTCGTTGGTTAGGGTGCGTATATGCAGTGGATGCGTAGCTGGTTATAATAGGTTGAGGTGTACCCTGTTAGGTCTAGGTACTCATACCCACCTTTGGGTGCGTATTCGCATGTTGCCTTCTATTCAGGTTGAGACCCCTATTATAGACTGGTGAATGTCCCTTAGTGTGGATATATTTATACGTATGGACTAGATAGATATGGTGAGGTGTCTAGGGTGTATCTGCGTATCGGGTCATTGTATGGATTGCAGTTAGATTAGAACTTGCTCGTGGGTATGACCCACTCCTTTATTATTCTTTTCAGGTACAGGACGGTTCCAGCCTTAGAGCTTGATTGTGCTTGTCAATGACAGTCTCACATTCATCTGATTACGTAGGATTTTCTCGATGTTTCTAGTATTTTCTATTTTAAATTTTCAGTTTCAGTTGAACTTTTGGTTAGGGGTTCACCAGTGGATTCCCAAGTTGTAACCTTGAGGTTTTGGGAGGATTGGAGTTTTATTATTTTAGTTATGCATGGAGGGTTATAATTAATGTTTCTTTCAGTTTTATTCTATCTTTATTATTTCATTTTGTCATCTGTGTTCGCTTTAAAATACTTAAATTGTTTGATATTCCCTCGGGTTTGGGCCTGACCCTGATCAACCCGTGTCTCAGATCCTAGGGGTATCACAGATGATGACCAAACTTAAAACCATTTCGGACGACCGAAACACAAGGGTGTTTCATTTCAGTCGACCGAACCTTGCCCATATCTGAATCTGAACGGCTATTTTGCCTTGAACTCCATGCACAACAGCTATATTTTTGAATAGCTACATCAGAATTCTATAAATAGAGTTGGGGACTTCGGGATTTGTTGTTGCTACCATTGAGAAACATTATATAGCATCCAAAGAGCTTTTGTTCTTCATTTTATATCATACTCTCTCATCCCATATCATTCATAGAGTATTAAACTTCAATCCATTCATATATATACTCTATAGTGAGCTGAAAGTTGTGAGCTTTGATTTGTATATCAATTTTTGAGAGATATACTTATATGCAACAAATTTGATCATCAATTTGTAAAGGCTGGTGTGGCCCAAAGAAGAAGAAGCAAGCTAGCTTTATATTTGTAAGAGTTGGTGTTGCCCAAAGGAAGACTAAGAGAGGTTGTCTCTTAGCAAAGTGAAGCAAGGAGTTGTTTCATGTAAAGGTTTGCTCTCCACCCGTAAGGAGGTGACATAGTGGATTGGGAAGTCTCAAGAGGGATCTTAAGCTGAGGAGTAGGAGTTTCTGAACCTCGCTAAAATCGCCGTGTGAATGTTTGCAATCTCTCTTCCCTTATCTCCTTTACATTTATGCTATTAGTTGCTTATGTCCATATCTTGATTATTGCATAATTGTTAAAGGGTGTTAAGTAGAATTTGCAAATCCGAAAATTGGCCATTGTTTTCCATAGACTCTATTCACCCCCCCCCCCCTCTAGAGTCAATACTTAGGCAACACCTCTCTCTCAAAATCCCTCCACGATGATGTCGTTCTTCGATCGCCGTCGAAGATGAAGTCCTTACGAGTCAAAGAACTCGGTGACAGCTTGGTTTGGGTTAAATTGGGATGGTTGTCTGAAAGGAGGAAGAAGAGGAAAGGTGTGTTGAGGGTAGTTTAGTCACAAAAATAATCAATATGAGGTCAATGGGCAACATAGTCATTTAACAACTATGACCCCACAAAAAATTGACATTTGGGGTGTAAGTGAAATGTTAAGTCACTAATTCAAATATGAGTACAAACTAAAAACTAAATCCTCATCTAGGTAAAATATGACCTAACCTCAGGGGGTCTGAGTGAAATTAACTAAAAAAAAAATTATACATTAAATTTTGAATGAAACAATTATTTTAGAATAGTCAAAAATAAAAAAATGGATATTCCATAGAGTACTACGAGTACTTGCTATGAAAAGTCAAATTTTAAAGTTATACCTTGAAATGCAACAGTGGCATGTTTATTGCCATTTGTTGGTGGCAAAACATTAAAGAATGTACGACTAATGTTTAATAGCACATGATTTTGTACGTTAATTTGACATAGTAACAACTACAGTCATAAAAAAAAAGTCAGACATTGAAACATCAGAAGTAGTCAACTCAAATTTTCAATTTTGGCCAACTGTCTCATTATTATAACAAATTTACAATAATACCAATACAGTACACTCTACCACCCAATTTGATCTTATCTCTCATGCTTTTTCTATTATGGTGTGCTCTGAATAAGTCCACACGTACCTTCTGTTCAAACTTGTACTCATTCAAATAATCGCTTCTATGTCAACTCTATAAAAACCTCCATCTCCATTTCCATCTCCATCCCAATCCAAAACTCTCTCTCCTCACTTTCTCTCTCTAAAATTGTCTGAAAATTTTCTCTCACAAATTCATTCATCCAAAACAGTGATACTATTACACACAGCGAATACAAGAGCAAAAATGAGGAGCAAAGCAAACAACCAAAACAAGTTCATGCGCTTCATTACAATACCCATTAGGGTTTTGAGCAAAGCAAAGGATTTCTACGTCCGAAGCTTGACAGATTGTGCCGAAAAGGTCAGCTACGGCAACATGATGGGCGGTCCGGCTGCGCAAGTTTCCTCCTTGCCCAAGAGCTTCAGTGTCAACTCGTCGAGGTCCAACGACAGCGATGATCTCAGGGAGCTCAACAGAGCTAGCTCTACAAAGAGCATGGGGGATAGGGTTGACATGGACAATAAGTATATGCAGAGACAGATGAGGCAGCCGACGAAGACGTCGTCGACGGTGGTGCCGAGGAGCTGCAGTGTTGGGATGGGGAGGATTGATGAGGACAGCCCTTGTGATTTCAGTGAAGATTACAGTTTTGGTGTGAAGGCAAATTTGATGTATCCAAGAAGCAGAAGCCATGCTGTTAGCATAAGAAGTGTTGTTTTCTAGGGTTGGATGAAATTTGTGTGGAGATAATGCAGAAAGGGGAGTTAAATTATACTCTCTCAATGTACACAAATTGATTGTTTCATTTTTTTTTTTTTTTTTTTTTAAATTTTTTGTTTGAAGGTATGGTTCAAGTGTGATGTTGTATGAATTAAGGAAATGCATATATATTTTCTTTGCTTATCTGTTGGTTCAGTGAGCTGTTTATGTATAAATTGACACTTCAAAGGCATGAAAAAGTAGAGTGGACATACACTCTTATATTTTGTTTGTGAATAATTTACAAATAAAACAAATACTTGAAACCCACTAGTGCTTTTGCATTGAGATCACCATGAAAAAAAAAAAAAAAAAAAAAAAAAAAAAATGATTTAAAAATTAGCAAAACTCTCCTGGATGCTACTGAAAACAAAATTGAGTTTATTCAAATTAATGTACAACAAATCATAGAAATTGATTAATTTCCATGAACACTTTATTATAATTAGGTCTATAAAGTAAAAATACATTTGTCTCTACGAAGATCAGAACCCTCACCTTCCCCACATTCCCCTTTTAGGGTACAAAATTACATACATCACTTGTTCCATTGGCTTATCATACTATAAATTGTTGTATGTTGGCTTTCTAATTATTAGATTGATGACAATAATGCCAAAGAAACGATCCACTTAATAAAAAAGTTTATCACTATATCACGAAAATGTTCAGCATCAATACGAAGAGAGAATGAACTCTTTAAGTCTCAACATGAGGAAACTAGTTTTGTTATATGCATTTCTATTTTTACAAACACGTTTCTTTTTCTCTAACTCGTAAGTTGAGTTCAAGAACACGTTTCTTTTTCTCGAACTCGGAAGTTGAGTTAAAAAAAACGCACATACGCTTGGGACTTGAACACTTAACCTCCAAAGAGAGAGATCATACCACCTAGGATAATGTCCTAATCAACTGAAACTGCAAACGACTTTTTTTCACAAGGGAGAGGACTTCCTTTCCTTGGAGACAGGAAAATCAAGATCATGAAAATGACAAGGCAACAAATTAGGACACCTATTTTAACATCCAACACTAGAATAATTGTAACAGATTAACAAGAGACTGAAAAAGAAACGTCACACTCGAGAGTTCTCAGGGAAGGTTCGATTCATTACAGGTTTATGTAGATAAAGAACACTCGCTTTTTCCGAGTTATTCTTAGGTCTCTGATTAGTACAGAACGAAATGAGGAGCACAAAACCAAACATGTTTAGATTGAAATAACCTCAGTATAATTACAAAAACAACATTCTCCGGATAATTAAAAGTGCGAGTGCTCTCAATAATTCCAACAAATCAATTAGTTTTTTGTAGATGAATAGTATGTGAGCCGAGCACAGATGTCTTTGCAGCCAAACACTTCAATTTTCTATAAACTTGTGGTCAAAGATAACAGATTTTTTGTATAAAATCCCTAATCAACAGGGCTTCATCATTTCTATTTGTTACAACATTAAATTAGCACCTCGACAGACAAGTTTGGATAAAATGCCGGCAGATTAGGATAGTCAGAACTTGTACAGGAAAACTTCTTCGGCATTTGCAACGCAGAAAGCAGAAGAGAAAGGCAGGATCACCAACTGGTGCTTCGTAATCCATTTCAATAACAAAAGGCCACAAGCATGACCCATTCTCCTTTGGAAGAAACCATTGCCAATGAAATATTTAGTTCACACAAGTCTCCCTTGTCACTTATCGCGCAATTCCCTCTTAGGAAGTAAATCAGCTCTTCTGAATCTAAAATTGAATCTTAAACCTAGATCACAGGAACAAAAAAGAATACAAATAGAACAAACAAATTAATAGAAGAAAAAAATAAATGAATAAACAAAAAAGGAAATTTTAGAATGAACATTACCACTAGAACTCCTTGAAAAGAACTTCAGTATTTCATCAATTATTATTACCTACACCAAGAGAAATTATCAATAGTACCGTGGAAAGAATTGGAACTCAAAATATAAAACTCAGAAGTGATGCATTGTGTTATATCCACTAAAGGAATAAAATACAAGCAACACACAGTCTACATATACCACAACATCGTCTATTATTCTAGAAAAGAGTAAAGAGTTCTTCAAGAGTTGATACTATCCGTTGAAAATATCCTTGAAGTTGTTTTGAAATCGATTGGTCCATGCCTATGGAGAAACTTTTGTTCAACTACATTCTAAATATTTTTTAAAACCACAAACTATTGGATAAGATCCTTACAGATTTTGCGGCTAATCACAAGAAAAGCATCGATGATGCAATTTTATAAAAGAGCAATAGACATGATCACAAGAAAAGCATCGATGATGCAATTTAATAAAAGAGTAATAGACCTGTTGAATATCAATTCTCTCCTTGAGAACAAGGCTTTACACTTTACACATAAAAAACAAATAATAGGGAGAAAAAAAAAAAAAAAAAAAAAAAAAAAAAAAAAAAAAGATAATTGATTGTCAAATATCAAACTGAGGTTTCCACATGTGATTAATAGGGAAAATTAAAACTTTTAATTACAAAATTAGTTAAGAGTACGATAAAGACCTCATAGATTTAGTTGCGAAAGCATTTATTTCATGATTTCCACATGGCTGCTTGATTAAGAGGTGGATGCAATTTATTACCCCCCATTAACGATCTAATACAAAATGCAAATTAAGATTTTTCAATTGCAAGGTATATCGGAAAATTTTCAACTTAGATATCAATATAGCTGCCTATCAGCTATTCTGAAGAACCAAAAGCAAAGAAAATGGAACAAGAAGATGGCTGTCAGCTTTACCACATTCCGACCAATCCAGTAAAATGTAAAGAGGTTCAATCATACACTTGTTTACGTATGTCATACTGTATTAAAAGCACATATTACTCCAGAAGTCCCATGGTAATAGGCGTTTTCAGTATAAAAGATTTCATTGCTTATATTAAAAAAAGACAAAGGAACAAGAAGATCCAAGAATAAGTAATATGATGACCAAAATACTTACAGGAAATGAAAGATAAAGGACAACAGTCCACTCAGCCCAAGATAATGGTGTCACCTGCATTGCAGAAATCAAATTTTTATATGAATTTCCTCAGGGAAGGAATGACAAATCAGAGTATGTGAAAAAAAGTCGAGCTAAATAGACGGTAAAAAGAGAAACTACTTACAGAGAAAAGAATGGAGAGTGGTTGCACATACAAAATAAGTATGTGAAGAAACATAGTCAGAATGATTGAAGCAACAAGCCACAAATTACTCCAGGGAGGGATGGCACTACAAATCAAGCGCAAGAAAGTGGTCAGTGGTTATGCAATTATTGTTCTTCCCTGTTCCCACCAGACATGTAGAAACAACAAAGAGCATAAATCTATTGTTGATAGTCAAATATAAACAGAAGACCATTAACTAGAATCGGTGCTAGTAGCTTGAAACAATAAAACATAGTTAATACAAATAAGTGAAGTCACGCATGTGTTTTTTAACATAAGGCTCCGCAATATCGAAGAATGTCTCGAATTCAATATTTTCTACTGGGTTTCTACATTTCTAAAACATCAAGCTTTGTCATTACGAGTCAAGTACGGGTACTTAGGAGGCAAATTAAGGTCACTGTAAGTGCCAGAATTGTGGATTAAAGTGAATTGCCAGGGTTCAGCGGCAGAAATTTGGTACTTCCAAAGATTCTAAAGAAGTGCACTCCAGAACCACAACAATAACACTTCATTTCCTTAAAGTTGTTACCCACTTTTACTGATTTTACATTCAAAGAGCCAAAAACAGATTATAAAAGATAAGAGGTGAGACAGATTCAATAGATTAATCTGTTGTATAGTCATTGCATTGAAGAAAACTAGTTGTATTCAGTCCAAATTCATATAGCACTTCAGTAGGAAGATGGAAATACTTGAAACTTGCTATTATCATGTTCGTATATTTCATACATTCATTCACCATTCGAATAAATTGACCAGGAGCAGAGAGAGAGAAAACCAATTTGGAATGGATTTTAGATTTAAGGTACTCACAGAAGGGATTGATTTTCACTGAGATTATTCAAGGCATTGAACATCTCTACTACAACAAGCACTGTCATTGACACAGTTGATGGATGCCGGTCGTTGAATACACTACATGGATAAGTAGTTTCCCGTGTTGAACAACTGTCAAAATTCATCTGAAATAATAAGAAACAAAGAATTAGTGTTCAAAAAGAAAATTCAAGGACATACCTAAACAGTTTCTACACTCAAGTAAAATTCTATAGTGTCATAAATTGCCAATACAGATCAGTTACAATATATTCAACACTCATCATTGAACCACATTATTAAACTTTTAGCAATCTTTCCAAAAAGAAACAGCAGATTTCTGATTTTGCCATATTATCTGGTTACTGATAATATTGAATAATTTTGACCCAAAATAGTAACCTAAGTGAATTGAATTCTTCGCTATCCATTTGGTTCTATAAAGGTCATTCAAAAAATTTGGCTCCAATAAAAAATAAATAAAATTGATGATGCAGTGCCTAGGCCATGGAGTAAATATAATGCCAAAAACAAGGAAACGTAGTAAAAAAAAAACTAGTTCTCAAATTTATTAATTTCATTCGAGCATGTAGACATGCCATAAGTAATAACTTTAACTTTCAGTTACTTTAAAAATCATATGAAATAGAGAATCTGAATTTCTAATTTTAAGCATTCTAAGAAAACTATAATACATTTGTAAAAAATAATTCTAAGTTAATATAAACTTACCAATTCACTGTATGGTATTTTAGGCCCACTATCAGAGTAAATAAACCACCATATGAACCCCGCAATAGTTGCAAGTCCAACATAAGCTGCATCAACCAAAAACTGCAGTCATACACCTCAAACATACTATAAAAAATAAAAAATCAGAAGACAATGCACACTTGTACTGACATTTGCAGCAACATGAACATTAAACGTGTACTATTGACCAAATTTCTCACAACTATTCTTTTAAGACAAATAAACTGTGAAACTAACCAGAAACCCTTGGAATTGATATGCTAGCATCAATTGATCATAAAATTAAATTAAAGACAAGAAATAGGAATTAAATGAACACTTAAAAGAAACTACCATGGTTAAAATATCCAAATGGCAGCAATTGAAGTAACATCAAATGGTAGAAGTTAAATATTCAGAGGTAAGTGATGCCAATCGTTATCCCATCCTACTTCTGGTATACTGTTTAACTCTTTACCACCAACAGCATAAATCGTCAACAAGAAAAATAATTTGATGAGGGTTCATCACCAAAAAACACAGCAAAGTAGATGATAATTAAAAACAAAGTAGACAAGGAAAAAGTGACCGCACGTCTCTCTGACAGAGAAGTTCAATTCAAGCATAACAAGGTAAAACCTTATACATTCCATGTCAAGTTGATCATGCTGTAGGGTGCATTTTTCAATTTCGACCATGAGATCAAAACAAATCAGTACTAGTGATCACAATACATAGTGCAGGAAACAATTTAAGTCATCCGGCTGGTACCTCCAATAACTAAATAACGAAAGAAGAGCCACCCAGTGACAACTGCTTCATTAACCTGCATATTTAAACAATGTGAAAAGTAAAATTACATGAAAAATAGGGATTATCTTTCCAAGAACAGGATACACTGATGCATACACAATTCAATTAACTATAATTCATAACTATCTTTGCTTAAGCAAAGAACTCAACACAGAGTAAAGCAAAATTATAACAGATACAACTAACAAATATAATCTAATAAAAACAGTAAATAGTTGTCATTATGAGCCAACCAGGATATGCTCTAGCTTCTGATTAATACAGTGCCAAAACAACAGCAATTTATCTGCGTTTTCAAATTCTACTTCCTCAACTCTTCTATTACAAGCATATTGTCGAAAGTCTCTGTTAAGAGCAATTTAAGTGAAACACGCCATTTAAGCCTTAATGTTTTACCTTGAGTTAAAATTCCATGAAAAGACTTGCTATTCCATATCCGCAAACAGTATTCCTACAATTTGACCTGTGTGACTGAATGATTATCCCTAAACACCTTCAGACAAGTATGATGACATAGCAAAAGTTTAATGTCCTTTTTTTTTTCTTTTCTTTTTTCTTTCTTTCTTTATTTATTTTTTATATCATTACTTCCTTTTGCTTTCTTACTCTGTTCCTTTCTTTTGAAGGAAGTCTCATCACCCAGTCTTCCCTCTTTTTTGTCTTTCCAAAAGATTGCTTGTCCTTTTATCAGAGAAAAGAAGAAACAAAATAAAAAAAATAAAAAAGAAGAATAAGAAAACACGGCACAAGAAATCCTCAAAACTAAAACCTAACACAATAAGTTGGTTAAGTCGGTGTTTTCAATTTCAATAAACAGAAAAAATACAAAAGCTACCGTTTTGAAGGGTGTATATCGCCGGGAAGACTTGGTTTTAGACTAAACTAGTTTCAAAGCACAAAGGGTTCACATGGTTCAGATAATGGCGACGAGACCTTCATCAACACTTAGGTTAGAAAGAGGAAAGAACACTCTGGTTACAGTCTTGGTGGCTTACTACACTCTAGGTGACTTGTTCCACTCACTCTGGGAACTTATCACTCTCACTCTTGGAGCTTCATGTTACAGATGAGACTTCTACCTATATACAGGTATCCTCCTCCCTAATATACAGCTAAGATGCATTACAATAAATAGTTAAGATCTACTCTATAAAATTCTCCTCCTAAATATCTACATATTTACAAACTCTACTCAACTTTTTCCTCTTCTAGAATCTTCTTCAATTTACCAACTTCTAGAAATCCTCCATTCCTCTCTACAATACTCCACAAATGAGGAAGACTCTAGAACTCAACTCTACTCATGCCATGCAAACACCATAGTCCTCAGTGTTCGCGTGTCACCTGCAAAAGCACAACCTCCCTATAAAATAGATAGGGTGAGACATTTAGCTCTTTTAGGATAGCAAGGAGAAAAGAAACTCAATTTCAGAAACTTATCACCACCTCTCAACATATAAAATTTGCAAGCCTCTCTTGCATATTCCTCCTCAACCCAACCAAAAGGGCATTATAGACATGAAAGGAATAAAATAACATTGATCAAGTAAAAATTGTACAAGGATTAAAAAAACGATAAAGAAGAAAGCATTTAAACAGCAAAACAACATGCAGTTCCAACTAATTACGAAAGCCTTACTTTGCGAGGTTTCGCCTTCATCACATCTGAGTCTTGCTTGTTAAAACCAATAGCAGTGGCAGGCAATCCGTCAGTAACCAAATTTACCCAGAGCAACTGGACCTGGAAAGAATGAGCATATTACTAAACCTTACCTCTTAACTTTCAGGCAGCATATGATAAAATACAGATGTTTGGGAAAAGGATTCTCAAACTTTAAGCAAGAAGCCTCTCAGGAGATGGATGAAACATTTTTTTTTCCTATCTAATTATGGAAGGTATCAAAGAACAAAGAACAAGAAAAAGGTAATCAGGCATTACACACATGCAAAATTTTACATGTCACCGAATCCATATTGAATTCTGCTCCGGTTTTTGAACATACAAATATGCATGCCACCCGTCTTACGTTGGAAACAAGGACTTGTCAGAACCGACAGTTGGGGGGAAATAATAGATTTGTTAAAAGACTGTATTACACAAGCTAAATAGACTCACAGGTACAAGTGTATCGGGTATTCCAAGTACAGCTGCCACAAAAATACAAACTACTTCACCAATGTTTGAAGATATCATGTATCTGATGAACTGCTTCGTGTTATTGTATATAGCTCTCCCCTCTGCAACAGCCTGCTTAGAATAGAAATTATTCTTGGGATGATCAACGTCATGAAATTTACTACTCCACAAAAATGTGAAGGAAATGAAAATCCCAAACTTACAAGGGTGAAAATAAAAGCTTACCGCAACAATTGTAGCAAAATTATCATCAGCCAAAACCATGTCTGACGCACTCTGAAAATTTGGATCGTAGAACAAAACAACTTAATGATTTACCAGAATTTCAATGCAAACAGGGAATTCAACACCATGCCATATATGGTTCTTCATTAGAACCTTGCAAGTACTATTATGTTATAAACATGAGCATGAAACAAAACCAAACCAGAAAACAGTTTAGCAACAAAGAGGAAAATGCAAGATGCAAAATTAAATGAAGAGAAATAACATCGATTTAATATACATCAGAATGATGATCATTTCTTATGGCCTACGAGAGGTACCATTTATAGTTCCCTGAGATTTTTCACATCTAAAAAATCATATACATGGAAAAATCTTGCAGAACAAAAGGCAGATTTTATGAAAGATTGTTCTGATTTTGGTAACATAGGTGATGAGAAATATTGGAAACTGTAGTTTTCAATTAAGTATAAAAAAAAGCCAAAAGCCATATAATTTATACAAATACACAACAAATCATGATATGATGGATATACACCCATCCCACTATAAGAAAAATATATATATAATAGGTTACAAAGCAAAAACAATTTTAATATAAATGGAAATATACCAACATAATCACTTGCACAAAATAAAGTCAATGCTCAGTAAGCATGAGGTTCTAGGCTTGTAGCTTCAAATCTGAGAGAAATCAGTTTGTGCAAATCTATGAAGCACGGACACGGACACGGACACGGGTACGATACGACACGGATATAGCGATACGGCAAATTTCAAAAAAAGAGGACACGGACACGGCAAGGATACGGCAATAAAATAATATATATATATACACACACACACACTCACACACACACACACTCAATTTTTAATTTATATTTAATAAACATAACTTTTAGGCCATTATTCTCTTAAAAAATATAGGCCCAAATATCTTGAAAATATAAACAAAAAAAAGGAGGTACATATTTGTATCTAAAAGTAAAATTATTATTCTTATAACCGTTTCTAAAGGCTTCTCTCTTCCCTAGGGTTTGTATTACCTTTTTCTATGCGGTTATCTTTAGGGAACGAGGTGGTAGATGGGAAGCATACGCTTCCAACAGGAATTGAGTGCAAACAAGCAACCTATTTCGAAGCTTTTCATCGGCCAAAAGTCTGAAAATGCAAGTTCTCTCTTCTCCTGGACTTTCTCATCTCCTTCATCTCTCTCCCTCAATCTGTCTTTCTATGAATACACACAACCATATACATGTATATATCTCTTTATTCTTTCTTTTTTTTTTGACAAATTCTGAACCCGTGTCCTATGCGTGTCGCCGGCATGTCCTTCACCGTGTCCAGCATGAAAAAAAAGATTAAAAAATACGAGACCTCCACAGAGGTGTCGGACACGTGTCCGACACTGGTATGACAACCCATTCCCATGTGTTGGTGCTTCATAGGTGCAAACTAATGCAAAAGATAATATCTGTTTCCAATCTACTAAACCATACATACGAAGGATTTACACTGGGTAATGCGTGTTTAAAAATATTCATATAGCAAGGAAATTGATAAAAGAGAACGAAATAGTATTCATAAGCCCTCAAACACTGGAGGTTGTTCCTTGATATAGGGTAAAAATTATTCAAGAGTTTCAACAACAATCTTTTTGGGCTCCTTAACTACAGACCAGTAGGTTGCATTAGGTGGAAATCCAGCACAAAACTTCGGTCAAACACAGGTGCAATTAGGTACGAGTAAGAGTTAGCTAAGAAATAGGTCAGAATGCATCTTATCCTCTAAATATCACCAACGATGTTTTCATCTAGCTATGATGATGGATTTAAAACCTGTGGAATAATTTTATCAAGAAGCATTCCTTGATAAATTTTTAAGATCTCTAAGGGTCCATTTGTTGATTAATAGCTAAAAGTTCGGGCTGAGAAGCGTGATAATGCAGATTCAAGTCTAAGAGTAGCTTTTTGTGCAAAATACTGTGACTGTTAGGTCTGTCTCCAGCACCTCCCTAGGTAGAACCGACACTGGATAAAGACATATTGACGTGACATTCTGGATTCACATAGACTTGTACAGTTACTAGATCTTTAGAGTTATGATAGGACTATTTGTCCAAAAGTAAAACACACACACACAAATATATATATATATATATATATATATATATATATATAGAGAGAGAGAGAGTATTTCCCAAGCTTTACGTCAAGGTTTTCACATAGAAATTAAATTATGCATTTTTTTTTTGGTTAGGTAAATACTCACACCTACACACCCAATACTTTTGTGTCTCTGTGTGTGTGTGTGTGGTGTGTGTGTGTGTGTGTGTGTGTGTGGGGGGGGGGGGGGGGGGGGGGGGGGTGTGATTTCCAAGTTCTAGAAGCATATAGAAGTGTTTTCCACTCAAAATATTTGAGAGAGGGGGAGGGTTGGGGGAATAGAGGCAATACACAAAATGTGATCCAAGCATTTGAGGTGGTGTCAAAGAGAGACTTAAACACCAAGCTCACACAGCTAATGCCATTTCCAAAAACAGATATCTTAGTAAAGGAATTGTCTCACCAACAATCTATAACTTGACTGAAGGTCTGGGAAAAGTCCAAGTATATGCAAATTTAAATTAGCAAGGGCTGCATATATCTATATACAAAGTATCATGGATGACAAGCAAAGGAATTAAAGACAAGGGAAGAGTTTATGCAAACAGCTTCTTATCTGTATCTTTCCTACTGCAGTTCAAAATCTTGGAGAGAAGTTGTGCTTCTAAGATAAACTCCTTCAGGGACCATATATTGCCATTAAGACTTAATAGCAGTAGCAAAAGATCCTGCAATCTGTGGCCTGAAAGGATGTGGGACTTGAGCGTCAAACTATGGGAGTCCCGGCATAGGTGTTCCTGGAGCCTAGAGTCCTAGTGCAGGGCATCTCTGGGACCAAAAACCTGACCTCAAAAAGAGCTGTTCCTTTTAAAAATTTATCACAGCCAACTTGACCATTTTAACAGGTAGACAAAACATGAGGGCAGACTGTTTATCTAACAATGTGTTCAAAGGAGAAAAAAAGATGACACAGGCAGCCACAGGATTTTGAATTCTCAATCTTCATCAAACTGTTGCAACTTGCATGAGTGTTTCAATGTCCAAAATGTGGTTCTCAGACGCAGATGTGAATGCAGGTGCTAAGTAACCGATGCGGGGCAATATCGGGCATGACGTAACGGAATCTGGCACCAGGATTGTGAATTTTAAGGCTTAATATCTAGACTTCTATTAAATTAATGTTACACTCAAGTTATCAGTAATGATTAGATTCTTATGAACATGTAAAAATGAAGAATATATTAAAACCAAGAAAACTAGCATATTGATTTTTCTTAAAAATTTCAATTTTAGGACCAAAATTCACAAAGATGAATAGAGTGCCAAATAAGAGTTATAAAAAGCCAAAAAAGTGATGTAATGGAATTGGGTGGTAAATGGTGTTTGTCCATTCACTGTTCAACGAAAAGGTGGTTGAGATCATGTGGTCCAAAGCCCCCTAAGAATGGATATGGGACATATATATGACAGACCAACCTGTAAAAAATCAAGATAAGGACACGAAGGAGACACAGTGACTAATAAATATATCTTTCTACATATCTGATCCAATATTTTAAAAGTAAATTATTTTTCATAGACGTAACAATGAGAAATTCACAAATCATAGTTAATTAATTAGGGAAGATTTTGACACAGGATAATTTGAGGAGGAGGAATCAGGTGGTGGTCAACTGTTGTTCCATGTGCCTTCGTGCGGAGGAGACGGTGGATCACCTCCTACTGCACTACACCATGGCTAGGGACTGTTGGGATTTGATGCTTGGTTTGTTTGGGGTTCAGTGGGTCACGCCCAGATTCTCCGAAGGGTTAATCTTTTGAAGGAAAGGAGAATCCTATTTCTATGCTCAAGTTCTCTATTATCTACACCCTTTCTTGTTGGGTTGTGGGGAGCAATTATACATCTTTAGAGGAGATTGTTGATTTTTTGGACTCTTTGAAAGTTTAGAGGCCCTTTTTGGCCTTGTGTAGTTCTTTTGGGCTTCACTTCCCTTTTGAGGGGTTCTATATAATTGTCTTACTTATCAAAATAATAATAATAATAATAATTATTGTACCATTTAAAGAACTACACAATTGAATATACTCCACAACAACAATAATATTTTAAACCAAAAATTGCAAATATTTTATGCTACGACTACCATATTATTAAAACTGTTCAAAGAAGTCATCATATTTACAGTTTAACCAAACTTTCTTTTCAAAACTTCATTAAAGCCCACTAAAAATGCAACCTGCATGTCTGACACATCCATGGTGTGTCTGTGAGGTGTTGGGCAGAGCATCCGATATTTAAAAAAAAAAAAAAAAAAAAAAAAATTCCAGACACATCTGTGGACGTGTCCAACATGTGTCAGGCTATGTCTGCCACATAGTTTTAATCTTTTAGGCATGTCTGTGCTTCCTAGAAAGCCCCAAGCAAAAGCTTTTAAGCCTTTTAAAGTTATCACCACCACTTTTATTTCCCTTAGCATATGAGGCCAAATCATACCTGATGTTGTACATAGATTGCCACAAAAGATGCCTCCTCAACACAATAACAAATTCTTGCAACATAGTTGGAGAAAAACATTTTAAAGAAAGAAAAAGGGGGCTTGGAGGATTAAAACTTGAAAGAGATAAAAAGCACCACCCTCTTACAACTCCAAAGACATCTTCTCTCTATCTATCTCAATTACACACGCACACTCTCTCTATACATTGTCCGATGGGCAACCTTGGCTCTGTCCAACCTCAGAGAGCACCAAGGGTCCAAGACCCACCCCTGGTACCCAGGTGATGGAATTCTCATCAAAATCCATGAAGATTTTCCAAACTCCACCAGATCTTGAAAGTCACTTATTCTCTCTTATGTAAAATGTATTTAATTCAAGATCTAAGAAGCATGGATACGATCATACGGATATTGGACAAGGATACGAAATGACCCAGACATAGCGACATGACAACTTGTAAAAAAAATTAAGAAATGGACACGGCAAGGACACGAAGACTAATAAATATATCTTTCTATATATGATCCCGTATTTTAAAAGTAATATATATATTTTTCATCACTTATCAATATATATATATATATATATATATATATATATATATTTCATCAACCTTTTTTTTTTTTCCTAAATATTTTTCATCAACCTAACAATGAAAATTTCAGAAATCTTAATAGCTAATGAGTTCTGAAAATAATTACTGTATCGGTTAAAGAACTACAATTGAATATACTCCACAACAATAATAATAATTGTTTTAAACAAAATAAATAAATAAATAAATATTTTTGTCATGATTACAATATTATTAAAAATGTTTCAAAGAAGTCATCGTTTTTACACTTAATCTATCTCTCTTTCCAATTTTTTTTTTGTTTTTTTCACTCCTTAACAATGTGACATGCATGTCGGACACATGTCCAAAGCTTGTTTATGATTTGTCCACAGCATGTCTGAAAATTTAAAAAATTCCAGACACGTCTTTTGGCATGTCCAAGGCGTGTTGGGCCAAGTCCGACACTGATTTTTGACCTTTAGGCTCGTCCATGATTCCTAATCAATATATAAGACTAGATATTGTGCCTTTTGATGATTGATGAACAAATCTAAGTTGTTTGTGGAGTTTAGGAATGAGAGAATGCAGAGAAATTGGGGAAAATGGTGCAAAAAACCTGCTGAAACTGGTCACTGCAACCTCCCCGAAAACAACAAGCTGACTCGGCCAAGTTAGGATTGATTGGGTCGATTCTCTCCGCTTCCCCACAGAGTCACCCCAAGTCGTGTGATTCTTGAGGATCACCGCTATATTAGACGGACTCAGTCTCGGCAAAGGCCGTGTCTGTTGTAAGTCGACTGAGTTGGTGACCCATGGTCCAATTTAAGTATGTTTTAGGAGTTTATACAAATGTTGAAGACCACATCTGTGGTGGCATCAAGTGTTTTACTAGCCCGCATCAACCAAAATCTACTGATATGAATCCAAGCGGAAAATGGGACCAAGTAAAGGAATCTGGTACTGGAACAATAGAGAGTTCGAATAGCTAGTAGCTCAAATATGCCCGATAAAATAGAAGTTATATAAGAAAGAATGGAGTTCTAATAGATACAAATTATGAAAAGTAAGTTAATGAAGTACCAAGTGAGGTTAAAATCAAAATGTGTGACAATATGCATCGTACACAGGTGATGCAGAAAATGGATTATAGGTATATGAACCTGTAAGATACACAAGTAAAACAGATTATGATCGTTTTGTAAATTGATTTGACCGAAAACGTACATTAGAGAGACAACAAGGACAGAGAAAATGTTAAAAGGTAATAACTAGAGTACCTAATGTCAAAAAATAAGCCAGAAATAGACACACAGGTATTCCTATTGAAGCTTAAAAAATGTGGAGGACAACCATTCATCCTGGCTACTGAATTATTAAACTAAATTACAAAGGAGAAAACAATAAGAGAGCAAAAGGAAGAAGGAAATACATAAAGGAATATGATTAAGACCACTAAACTACCAACAGCCAAGCATTAGGGCCTATAATTAAATGTTTTTCAATCAGATTTTGGATACACGAGGAAGAAAGATGGAATTAAGTACTTCAAGAGAACAGGCCACATGGCAATACCTTGGCAACTGCTGTTCCTGATCCCATGGCAATTCCAATATCAGCTTTCTTTAGTGCAGGTGCATCATTGACTCCATCACCAGTCATTGCAACCTTACAAAGTAGTAATTGAACAATTTAATTATTGCGCAGGCAAAATTATAAGTTACAGATATGAAGGAAAGAAAATGGCATGCAATGGACAAATGATTGAGAAAAATCATGCTCCACAATTAAGACGATTATAAAATTACTAATTAGTACTGAATAATGGACTTAAACACAAAAAAATAATTCCATAGGAATGACTGCCGGACATCTTAAATCAGGATACATGGAGGAAACAATATGCAAGCACTTAAGGCTGTCAACAGGCTGCCGAGACAGATCACCACTCAGCTTAACTTGGCCTGATGAGAACTGCATGAATAAAATTTCTTTTTTTCTTTCTTAAAAGGTTGAAAGAGAAAATCTTACATGCTGTGAAATAGGAATACTTAGCTATGTTCATAAACATTTAATGAAAGAGAAAGTGAGAGTCTTAAACCCAACAAAATCACAGATAAGGCTAAGGATGAAGACCACATTTTTACTTCGTCCTTTTTCCTTTTGGGTATCTAGGGTATCCAAACCATTTCAATGTGAGATTAATTTCTTCAGATACACAAGGAGGTCACTATTAATGAAAAGAGAGGAATCTACTCCAGATTAGGTGCGTCAAACTGGGATCTCCAGATCAATTTTGGACTCTCAAGCAGAGTCAGTTCCCTGGTGAATGTGAGATAATTAGAAGCGAGTTTGCCAAATTAATTGATGTAGGACAGATATTAATATTTTTATAAATCAGGTTTCTTATTTATTTTTATTTTATAATTTTTAGAGAGATTTTAGTTTTAGGTAATTTTTTATATTTTTAAATTCCTTAAGGAATTAGTTTACTTCAGAGTATTAGGGTTTTCTTTCATTATTACAAGTATGCATGTACTGCAATTGCATAATTTAACTTTTGATTAATAATACTTCAGATTGCTTTGCAATTTTTATTCAACTTTGTGGATTCAAAGTTACCCTACTTTTTGAATCCTTGTGAACGTTATTGTCATTTCCCCTACGTCAGTTGCTATCAGAGCCTTGATTTACCCTGGGCTGATGATGATTGATCGTTTTGGCAGCAACCGCTCTCGCGGCGTTTATCAGGGAGTGCAGGCCCTAAGGGCAGCCATGCATACTCAAGAACAGTTCGTGGCAACTGGTTTTGGGATTGTTGGCAATCAGGTTCGTGCTCATGATGTGTCTTGGGTTATATTCCTGTCTATCCACGTAGGCCTCCAGCCTATGCGGATTCCTTCGATGATAAGAAGTTCAGATTTAGAGAAGTTGCGATCGATCGACAAGACAGAAACTATAGATATCTGGACAATCGTAAGTTTCAGAAACAACTCGATTTACTTACTTTTACTTCTAATTTTTGTGCTAAGGATGTCTTAGATTGGCTAAATGAAGTTGAGTATTTTCTCGAGTATTTTGACATACACGAACACAAGCAACGTACATTTGTTGCAATCATGCTTAAGAAAGGTGCTTCAGCTTGGTGGGAACAGGAAAAGACTAACCGCCAGAGGCAAGGAAAACGGCCTGTACAATCATGGTCAAAGATCAAAAGGTTAATTGCTAGATTGTTACCACCGAGTTATCAATACATGTTGTATCACCAAAATCACGATTGCAAGAAAGAGTGTCCGTCTGTCAAGAAGAACACGAGGTAGAATAATGGTAATTTTACAGAAGCAACCAATGATTCTCAAATAATCGAATGTAATCAAAATTGTGTTGTTTCGCCTCTTGTAGTTGAGGATGAAGAAATTGTCTATACTTTAGTCGCAACAAAGACACCTGAAAGGGCTTTCAATAATACAACTTCAGAGACAACTAAAGAAGAAAATGATAACAAGAAATTCTTTGTTGAAATTGAACAAAGTGAATTTACTAGTGATGAGGACAATGAAGTTTCTCAATTACATGTTTTTGAAGCAAGTGAAGACAAATCTGTTATTGAAGAAGTGGATGATGGCACTGAGATGTTGAGTGATGGAATAGACCCAGATTTAGAGGACACTGATAATACCACCTCGGAAGAGCTTGAGCACGGGATCAAACACAGTGAGGGTGTTGACTTAGTTTGCACCAAGAACGAGAATGATCTCAAATTTTCAGTTAATAAAGTTAAGAGAGGTCTTCTCATGCATACAGTGCACAGCCATGCCCAAAATAATATTTTTGACAAGTTGCACATGTTGGGTGAAGCTGAAACCCATTACCTCCACTGTGGACATTGGGACGCACAAAGATTTCTTATTCCAAGTGCAATACAGGGGCAAAAGGATCATCAGTTTAATCACGCTACGAAGCACGGACACGGATACGGGACACGGATACGACACGACACGGACACGGCGACACGGTAAATCCAAAAAAATTAGGACACGGACACGGCGAATAGTATATATATATATATATATATATATATATATCAGCATTAATAATTAAAAAAAAAAAAACACTGATATGTTTAGGTTGGAATATATATATATATCACTGATATGTTAGTATATATATATATCAGCATCTTTAGGACACGGACACGGCGAATTGTGGCATCTTTAGGTTAGTATATCTTTAGGGTAGTACAAAACAAAAAATAGAACATATCAGCATTAAAAATTTTTAAAAAAAATTAACATATCAGCATTAAAAATTTATAAAAAAAAAATCCAGAAAAGTGCGTCCGAGTCGTGTCTGAGCCGTGTCCGAGTTGTCTGAGCCGTGTCCGAAAATTAAAAAAATAAAAAAATTCCAGACACGTTTTTTGGCGTGTCCTGTCGGGGCGTGTCCGACACGTGTCGGACACGGATTCTTCGCCCATTTTGGAGTGTCCGTGCTTCCTAGGTTTAATGAGTTTAGATTTGATGATGTCACCTTAATGATGGGCACATGCCATGAATTGCAGGTGATATCTACTGGAAACTGCAATGGATATTCTGGATATGCAACTCATGTAAACGTTGTCCGCGATAATCATCATAAAAGGTTGAAGGAAAAAGAAAATTAATCAGCAGGAAATCTAAAGCTGGTTTATGAAACATAAAGGGCCGGTTCTCGGTGGTATAAAATTTTATTTATATTAATATATGATTAGTCACAAGGAAACTCGAGGACGAGTTTTTTTCGAAGTGGAGGGAACTGATGTAGGACAGATTTTAATATTTTTTAAATTAGGTTTCTTATTTATTTTTATTTTAAAATTTTTAGAGAGATTTTAGTTTTAGGTAATTTTTTATATTTTTAATTTCCATAAGAAATTAGTTTCCTTTAGAGTATTAGGGTTTTCTTTCATTATTATAAGTATGCATGCACCGCAATAACATAATTTAACTTTTGATTAATAATACTTCAGATTGCTTTGCAATTTTTATTCAACTTTGCGGATTCAAAGTTACCATACTTCGTGGATTCAAAGTAACCTCGTTCCTTGTGAACGTTTTTATCGCTTCCACTACGTCATTAATGAAAAGAGAGGAAGTTTATGGTATCAAAGAACAAGATTCGAAAGCCATATGGTAAGTAAAGGGGTAAGAGAAACATGAGATGTTTCCAGCACCAAAGCTTCACAAAGAAAATAGAAGGCTTTAGCTATTGCTGCAAATCAGAGCAGACCCAAGCCAACTCAATCTCAGAGATTCCTTTAATAAGCCAAGACGAAGCATAAGTGTATTATCAACCACAGATCTACGTCCCATATGACAGTTCAAACTAAGCTGAGTATACGCGGCATAAACCATCCGCATCAAAATTCTTTGTGAGAACCAAAAAAGAGGAAAGAAACTCCAATCTATGACCTATCATAATTTGACCAGGTGGTTAAGTTACAGGGAGGATAGCCACAGTTGGTGGATCTTTTAGTGCCGATTAATATAATTAATACTCGTAAATCAGAATAATACAATTCAAGGGTGCATGGCAAGCCAAGGACATCCTTTCTGACCCAAATAAACCAGATATTATAACCGTGCAATCACTCTAATAAGGGAAATACAGGAGACGCACCACTTCATTTTGGTGCTGTAATGCTTCCACCAGCATCCTTTTGTGAGATGGTTCAACCCTAACAAACAAACAAAAAACAAAACAAAAACAAAATATAAATAAATAAATAAAGAAGAACAAAAATAAAGAAAAAAATGCATATAAGCTATAAGCATTTATTCAGAGCAAAAGGGGTAGAAGTTGCATAAAAAAGAATTAGGTATACACATACCTGGTGAAGAGTGTCATGCGTTGCAATGCCACCGTTTGCTGCATTGCTGGAAGTTCTTCAAACTCAGATGCAGTGTAAGAGTGTCCAACAAAATTTTCCAAGTGATCAAAAGCACCTATCTTTCGACATAGGGATTCTGCAGTGGCCTGACGTTGTATATCAAATTAGAATAGCATTTGGAAAGATGAATAAATAGGCAAATTAATTGCATAGAATTTAAAAATAAAAATTAAATCAGCAGGTCATTTCATGTTACCTTATTATCTCCTGTGACTACTATAACACGTATGCCAGCAGTAATGCATGAAAGTATAGCATTTTTTACTTCCTCTCTAGGTGGATCAAGCATTCCAACCTTTATTGACAAAAACAAAGGAAACATCAATGAGAATGGCAATAAATAGAGAAGATGAAAAGGCATAAAGTCAAGTATTTTTAGCGATTCAAAGAAAAGGGAGCAAACTGAAATTTACAGGAGTAGTTTAACTATCTTAACATTTCTCATCTATAAATGTTAAAACAAGGCAAGAATTTTAGTATTAGAAAATAAAATGCGTGCCATAATAGCAAGAGTTCAAGTATATCAGAAATTCAATTTTACACAAATGAACAAGAAAAAAAATAGACTAAACTTGCAAAACTCCTCAAAAGAGAGTACCATAAAAAAATAAAAAATAAATATGTAGAGGATCCCCTCCTTTCAGAAATATAATTATTTCTTTCCTTCAAACTGAACAATAAACTAGTTGAATGAAACATTCAAGAAATTCTACACAAAAATGCCTAATCAAATGCCTTGGTGTTATCCACCAGAGGGTTGACAAATGGCCCAAATCAATGGCATTATCACGTCAAATTCAATAAGAAACAAGAAGTTGGTAGCTCTTCTCATCTTGCAACAATTAACTTCTTCTCTCTCTATTCTCTGGGCACATGCTGCCTAAAATTAAATGTGGATGTTTATTCTTTTAAGTAATCCAAAGACGATAGGCAAAGGGGATTCAGCAAAAGGCTAAGAAGCATGTACAGTTGAAAGGAGGAGCCTGTCAAAGTCAAACAAGAAAACACAAGACGCCAAAGGTGACAACTATAGCTTCAAGCTATCCACAAAATCCAAAAAATGCCCCAAAGATTTAAAATTACGCACATTAACCTAGAGAATAAAGTATGCAGTATATTATATTTGAGAGTCCAAATAGGAGTCCCCCCCCCCCCCCCAATCAAAGTATCTCCTATTTCTCTAACTCCTCAAACCCACCATAAACAAATGGGAATGGCCCTCCAAACATCCCTGGCTCGGCTCTCCACTAGACTCTCCAAGCCTCGATCATATCCAGTGTGGATCCTGGGAACACCCAAGACATGCCAAGCGCAACCAAAAACATAGCGCAAACATCCCTCGCCACTGGAAACTTTCAGACACATGCCGAAAAACATTTTGGAGGTATTTATAATTTAAAAATGATCTTCATTTTTACTTCTCTCTCCTGCAAGTGATTCGTATTTACACCAAGCTCCTCTTTCTTATTCTTAAGCATGTCCCCAAGAGGGTCAGGGCTTTTAGCTATTGTTTTTGAGAAATGACCTGGTATGGTCCATGCTTCGAAAGAAGTTTTTACGTGATCCACATAAACAAAAAAATTTCTTCAAACATGAAAAAGAAGAATAAGTGTAAGAAAAATTCAATAAAACATTTACATAATATTTCTGAAAAGTAAATGATATTAAAAAACAAAATATATAAAAAGGTTTTATTAAAGTAGGGGATATTAGAATAGGAGAGGACTAAGAGTCATCAAATTCTGTACCCACAAAAATATATATATATATATATATATATATATATATCTACAAACACACACAAAAAAAAAACATAAAATATGTTTGTCACTATATAACAAAGGTGATTATAATTATATAAGAAAGTAAAAAAAATAAATAAATAAGCCGGTCAGAGAATATCAGATTCAGCTATCATGAAGTACTTTATTGTTGTGCCTCCACCGTCTCCGTATATTGTTTGTTCTATATCAATGCTTCATCATCATCGTTGTCCTTGCCTTAGTCCATATGAATTGGCATTGGCTCCACAAATAATTTTCTTTTTCCATTCTTTTCTACTACACATCATTTCACCTATTATGCATCTTTTTAAAATCTTTCTAATAACTTCATTCCACATTAATTTTGGTCACCCTATTTATCTCTTACCTTCTATAAAAGTAAACTTCCTCTTCTTACTAATGCATCTATAGATTTTTGTAGTGTGTGTCATACCATCTAAGTCTACTCTCTTATCTTCTCACTAGCGGGTGCCAGTCCCAATTTTTCTCACTTTCATTAATAACGCTATCTCTTCTAGTCACCTCCGACCATCAATCTTAACATTCCATTTCTTTTCATGAATGTGTTATTCTTGTTTCTTTTCTTACAACCTAACACTTTGCTCCATATAAAATAGTTGGCTTAGTAACGGTTCTATAGAAATTTTCTTTGTGTCTTGTTATTCTTTTATCACATAAAATGCAGTCTATTTGTTAGTATTTTATCACAAAAAAATGCCACAAGCCTGTCTGCGTTTGTTCACCCTCATCCAGTTCTACTAGTTATATCACTACCTATTCCTTCATCCATTGGTAATATAGATTTAAATATCGAAAGTGGTTATTTGAATATTCTTTAGTTTTAAGTGTGAATATTATATTATCAAAATATTTCATCTCTACCTGAGACCCAACAAAAAGGAGTGGAAACAATAAAGAACTTAAGAAAAGAAATAGACCTCTCCTTCCCCTCAAAATATCTCCTATTCCTCTCAAGCCAAATACACCACCACACACAAAGAGGAGTAGCCCTCCAAGCATCACGAACATGGCCCCCCACAAAACACCCTCTCCAAGCCTCGATCAAATCTCTGGCGGAGTGAGGCATGACCCATTGAAACCCAAACAAGCCAAGCCTCAAATCCCAACAATCCTTGGCCATGGGGCAATGCAAAAGAAGATGGTCCACTGTCTCCTCGTCCCTAAGACACATGTAGCACCGATTGACCACCACCTGATTTTTCCTTCTCAAATTATCCTGAGTTAAAATTTTGCCCAACACAGAAGTCCAAGTAAAGAAGGCCACTTTGAGAGGAGCCTTAAAACGCCAAACCGACTTCCACGGGAAGGGCCCTCCAGGCTCCATAGAAAGACACCTGAAGAAGGACCGCACATCAAAACGACCCTGAGCACTGGGAGCCCAAGTCCAACCATCAGACTCACCAACCGTGACTCCCTGCCGATACAACAACTCCAACAGACGAATGGCATCCTCAACCTCCCAATCCTGAAAGAGACGCCTGAACCAAACATCCCACACCAGTCTCCCGCTATCAAGATGATAACAATCAACTATCATGGCCTGCCTATTCGAAGCAATCCTAAACAGCCATGGAAAAGCGAGAGCAAGAGAAATATCTCCACACCAAACATCCTCCCAGAAACTGATCCTCCCGCCATCCCTAAATCTAAAACGGACATTCAAGGAGAAATCAAACCAACCCTTCCGAATGCACTTCCAGACCCCCACACCCCTCGAACCACGCACCTCAAGAGACCACCACCCTCCTCTGCTCTCCCCAAACCTACTAGCAACAACCCTCCTCCAAAGCCATTGCCTTTCCACTCCAAACCTCCACAACCATTTTCCAAGGAGAGCTTTATTGAAAGGCACCAATCTACGAAGCCCCAACCCACCATTACGAATAGGCCTGCAAACATGCTCCCACCGAACCAGATGAAACTTAAACTCCTCCTCTCTGCCCCCCCACAAAAAATTATGCTGCAAGCGCTCAATTCTCTCAGCCACAGAGACGGGAATCTGGAAAAGCGAAATAAAATAAATAGGAAGGCAAGAGAGGGTACTCTTAATTAGAGTGACCCGCCCCCCCCCCCTTGGAAAGATACTGCTTCGTCCAACCCGCAAGCCTCCTCTCAAATCTATCCACAACTGGATCCCAAACTCCCACACACCTCGAAGAAGCTCCCAGAGGCAAACCTAAATAAGAGATAGGAAAAGAGCTAGTGTGACAACCAAGAATACTAGCAAACAAGCCGATCTCAGGAACCTCCCCAACTGGCACCAAAACACTCTTGCCAACATTCACCTTCAGGCCGGAAACCACTTGGAACCAGATCAAGACACATCTCAAATACCTGAGCTGGGACTCCTCCGCATCACACAACATGAGCGTATCATCAACAAACATCAAGTGAGAGATCTCTAACTGGCTAGCAGCATCTTTACCCACCCGGAACCCTCTCAAAAAGCCCAACTCAACAGCCCTCCTCATCAACCTACTCAGAGCCTCCATCACAAAGAGGAACAAGAATGGGGAAAGTGGGTCACCCTGCCTCAAGCCCCTCGAACTGGAGAAAAAACCGGTCGGAGCTCCATTCACAAGAATTGAGAACCGAGCACTGGAAATACAAAAATGAATCCATTTCCTCCATCTCACTCAAAACCCCATCCTCTCCAATAGGAAGAGAATAAAACTCCAACTCACATGATCATACGCCTTCTCAATATCCAGCTTACACAGAACACCTGGAACCCCACTACTCAATCTGGAGTCCACACACTCACTAGCAATAAGAACTGAGTCAAGAATCTGGCGGCCTCCTACAAAGGCATTCTGAGAATCAGAAATCACACCATCCATCACTTTCCTCAAACGAAGAGCAAGGACTTTGGCAATCACCCCCCCCCCCCCCCCCCCCCCCCCCCCGGGGATGAGAGCAACAAAGGTGGCATTCAAGCTCTTCTCAAAAGACCCCTGAGCATGGAAAGCTTGAAAAGTGCCCATCACCTCCCCTTAAACCACCTCCCAGCACTCCAAAAGGAAAGACATGGTAAACCCATCAGGACCTGGGGCTTTATCCCCGTTACAGCTCTTCAAAGCAGACAAGACTTCCTCTTCAAAAAAAGGCTCTTCCAAGCCTGCACACTCCTCACAAGAAATGGTGTCGAACTGAAGCCCCTCAAGTAGAGGTCTCCACGTAGCAACCTCTATGAATAGCTCCGCATAGTACTCAGCAATACCTTTGCACACATCCTCCTCTTTACCAGCGTCAACCCATGCACCTGAATCCTCCCAATATGATTGCCTCTTCGATGGCCATTGGCTAATCTATGGAAAAACTGTGTTTCTGTCGCCCTCCTTAAGCCACAAGGCTCGAGATTTCTGTCTCCACGAAATCTCCTCCATGATAGCAATCTCAGCAAACTCCGCCTGACACTTCGCCCTCCTTTCCTTCAAATCGTCCCCCAAAACCCATTGACCCTCCATCCTGTCAATATCAGCAATCTCAG